ACATACATACATGCATACATGCATGCATGCATGCATGCATGCATGCATGCATGCATACGTACATACATACATGCATACATACATACATACGTACATACATACATACATACATACATGCATACATGTGCATACATACATACATACATACATACATACAGACAGGCAGACAGGCAGACAGACAGACAGACAGACAGACAGACTGACAGACATACATACATACATATATACATGCACACATACATATACGCACATACACATATATGTGTATGTATGCATACACACATGCATACCTGCATGCATGCATGCATGCATGCATGCATGCATGCATACATACATACATACATACATATACCCCCAGACCATGTTTAAAGTATCCCCCCTGTAGAGGGACAGACCCGAACCCGACTTAAACTTACGCGCCAGTGGACCTGTGCCCGAAGCTCCCGAAGGCCCCTGGATGCCCAATAAGAGCGCCGACGACTCTGGAAGACCTCCTGGGGGGAAGGCTGCCATGGAGAAGCCACACTGAGGCCCCCTGGACGCATCGGCTGCCTGGGAGCCGAGCCCATGGAGGCCCCATGGAAGACGCGGGAGGTCCCCGAAGATCCCTGGAATCTCCGAGCGCATGCAACCGCGGTCCTCCCAGGAGAGCTCCCGATGCCCTCCCAGACGCGTCAGCCACGCACAGGTGCCTGCACCGCCACGCCGCGGAGCGTCCTGGGGTGAGCAGGGGCGAGCATCTCAGCGAGTCCCCGTCACGGCCAGCAGACATAGCGCCTCAGCGCCCCGGCCAGTCCGATCGCCACGGCCCCCCATCCACCTCTGGCGAGCGACGGAACATGCCCATGTCCCATGCCCTTGTGGTCTGGAAAGCCCACGACATGAGCGCCCCTGGGCATCCAGGGGGACCAAAACGAACAGCATCTGCACAAACTTCCGAAGATCCGCGAAGCCAAGCCCCCCTGGCACATGTTCGGCAGAAGCTCCCAGGGAGGGGGAGGGGGGAGGGGGGGGCGGCGCCGTCACCGGGGGCGTCCGCGCGGGCCTGCGAGAGCGCGCGCGTGCCTCTTCTGCACGCACGCAGCTTCGATCCTAGATAGGTCGAGGCTCCTCGTAGATAGATCGAGCCCGCACGATCTGCCTGCGATCCAGGGCGGGGCTTCCCGTAGATAGGTTGAGGCTCCCCGTAGATAGATCAAGAATCGAGCCCATAGAAGGATCCAGCCGCGGGCCTAAGATCGATCCAAGACAGATCGAGCCCGCACGCTGCCTCCCAACTCCGCACCCTGCCCGCACTGCCCACCCATGGGACCCCATTCGGGGTCGCTCTGGTCCGCGTGTGCCGACATCAGCGACGGATGGCAACTCGCCTCGACGCAGCCCGTCTCGGTATCGACCGCGATTGCGGGGACACACCGCCAGCGGAGGGCAAACATGGGTGCCGCGCTCTGCTCCCTTCGGGAGCCCACAGAACACGCACGCGTCCCAGTCCGCGAGGCCAGCCTCGCGGCACGAACGCTCGCGCACTGCCTGCCTTGGCAGCGCGCGCCGACGGGGGGGGGAAGTGAGAGCGGGCAGGCCTTCTCGGAAGCCCTCCGGCATCCTGCGACGCCGCCTGCGACCTCGGAGGAGGCCCAGAACAACTGCTCGGAAGGCTGGAGGCCTCCGCCCCCATCTGCCTCCCCCCTTCAGCGGGCGCCGCCGAGCACTGCACTTTCGAAGACCGCTCACAGGAGAAGGAGGAGGAGGAGGAGCAGGAGCAGGAGCAGGAGCAGGAGCAGGAGCAGGAGCAGGAGCAGCAGGAGAAGGAGCAGGTGGAGGAGGAGGGGCAGGATGAGGAGGAGGAGGAGGCCCACGGGCGCCTGCCTCTCGCCCGCTGCTCCTTCGAGCGCCCGCTGCGGGCCTGGCCCCGCCCCCCGCGCGCGAGCGCCGTCCTCCACCAGCGCCGCGAGCGCCCGCCACGAGTCCTGGCGGCGAGGCGCGGGCGCCGCGCCGCACGCTGCGGCGCCGCGAGCTGCAGCTCCCGCCGCCCGCCTCCCGCGCTCGGTCTCCTCCTGCTCCTCCTCCTCCTCCTCCTCCTCCTCCTCCTCCTCCTCCTCCTCCTCCTCGTCCAACCTGTCCTCCTCCTCCTCCTCCTCCTCCTCGTCCAACCTGTCCTCCTCCTACTCCTCCTCCTCCTCCTCCTCCCCTCCTCCTCTCCTCCTCCTCGTCCTCCTCCTCCTCCCCTCCTCCTCCTCCTCCTCCTCCTCCTCTGCCTTCGAGCTCCGAGCTGCGGGCTCTGCACCCACGAGCGGTGGTGCCCTGCCTCCTCCACCTGCTTCGCCTGCTGGTCCTGCTCCCCCTTCTCGTCCTCCACCTGCTCGAGTACGTCTTCGACTTCCTCCTCGTCTTCCTCCTCGCACTCCTCCTTCTTACTCTGCAGAAACTCTAGCCCATCAGTGCGCGGTAGATCGTCAGACCACAAAAAGTGTCTCCGACTTCAGCTGTCTGCTCGCACATGAAAGGGAAATGCACAACAACAAGCATGCAATGAGACATAGCGAGGCACCTACTGCAGGTGAAGAGGAAAAACACGAAATGGCACAGAGTAAACTAAGCGAAGTGTGGTTGAGGGACGAAGAAGGGCACACAAGTAAAGATCTCTAATAAACAAAGAAAACCCGAAGGAGCGGGGTGGTCGAGCTGTTGTGTGGCACGTGGGGGGGGGCATCGCACAGCGTGGCGTGGGCGCAGCGGTTGTCATCGGCTGTCCATGGTAGGGAGCCCCGTGTCGAGGGCCCAAAACGGCCGCGTGGATGACATTGCGGGGCAACATATCACAAGCATTTTGACAATTCAGAGGAAGCCCATACACCAGCACATTCATATTGCGTGGGAACAAATGCCTGACCGCTTCCGCACATCGGATCGGAACTGACGTCGGAAAACAGAAAGGCACTCGGACCAGAACTGGAATGGCGGCAGGGCACACCGAGATCGGAACAGATCGGATCGAGATGTTGTCCTCCTGCTTCTGCTCCTCCTCCAAATTTCACGCTGCGCAGACATTGCCAGGATGGCCGCTGCGTCCTAACACAACGATTTGGTACAACATTCCGGAACGCACGAACAACATCAAACTAGAACCCTCATCACAGTAGTGCACACCTTTTCCTCCTCTTCCTCCTCCTTTTCCTCCTCCTCCTCCTCTTCCTCCTGCTCCTCTAGTAAAACTGGGAAAATTCAAAACGTACGTGGTCGCACCATGCACAAACATGAATAGGTGAAAGAAGGAAAACGAACACCCACATTCCGTCCTGCCAGCCCAGGGCCTCTTCGGTGTTTAAAAACCTGCCACAGTACTCCCTGACACGTTGACGCGTGCTAGAATACCAAGTGCAGTCTGGTAGGGTTTCTGCAACATTCTAAGGGGCCCCCCTCCCCGCCGCGCCTCGTCACGCGCAACGTCCCTGCTTTCCAAGGCTCTGTCGGCGCCCAGTCACGCCCCTGGCTTGTCTCCAAGGCGTCTAAGAATGCCCTAGATGGCTTCCAAGACGGACCTGGGAAGCCACCACGGCCTCCAAGATGGCCCAAGAGAGCTCTAAGACCGCCTGAGAGGCCCCATCGAAGCCCCGAGAACGCTCCAAGAGGACCCTCACGAGGGCCCCAAGAGGCAAGACAGCAATGATTTAAGTTGTGTTTTTCCGTGTGTTTCACCCTATCCCCTTTTCGAGTTTCCGACGCTCCAAGACGGCCGAAGGGGCCCCCACAGCCCGAAGACGGCCCAAGAGGCCCCCAAGTCCCTCGACGGCCCAAGAGAGCCCCAAAACGGCCCAAGAGGCGCCCGAATCCGCCGACCCTGTCGGCGTGTCTGAGGAGCTTGTCCGTTCGAGTCGTCCTCTTCGTCATTCGTTATTCGTCGTCTCTGACGGCTCCTTTCCCTGAAGCCCGCACTTCCCTGGGCCAGTCGCCGCTCCCCCCTCCTGGGCCATCTTCCCCGAGCGCGCTAGGCAAAGCGAATTTGATGAACGTCGTAATCTAATCGAAGGGAAGCCCCCTCCCTTTGATCCCTCCCCCGTCGGGGGGGGTCCCAGGGGGGGGGTCCTGGGGAAAATACGCCTCGGTCCTGGAGAGGGTCGCCACCCGAAAAAGGCATCCCTCCCGGGGGATACCGGGCCCAAAAGCAGATCCACGAACCCTCTCCCTTTGATCCCTCCCCTGTCGGGGGGGGGTCCCAGGAGGAGTCCTAGGGGAGATACGCCTCGGTCACGGGGGGGGTCGCCACCCCAACACGCATCCCTCCAAGGGGGTCCTGGTTTGAACAAAACCCATGAACACAGGACGGACCGAGAGTGCCCGAAGAGGCCCCCAAGACGGCCCAAGAAGGCCCCGCATCGCCGAACGATTTGCCCAAGACGCCTTCACGGCCTCCTGAAGGCCCATGAGGCCTGCTGAACGCCCCAAGAGGCCTGCAGGAGCACTCCCAAGAAGGCCCCGGAGGCAAAATTAATCAATTTCTCTGAAGTTATTGAAAGATTTTGGCGTTTTCGCCTCCTTCCGCATTCCGGCGCACCAAGACGGCCCCAGAGGCCCCCAAGATCGCCCCAAGACGGTCCAAAGTAGCCTTCCAAGAGGTTCACAACATGGCCCAAGAGGGCCCCAAGACGGTCCGAAACGCATCCAAGACAGGGCCAAGAGGTACCCAAGACGGCTCGAAGAGGGTGCCCAGACGGGGGCCCGAACGGACATCTCGAGCCCTCGCCCCCGAGAAGCTCTCAGGAGGCCCCGGGAGGCCTCGAAGACGCCCCCAAGCCCCCAGGAAGCTCCTGGAGGCCCCGCGTTAGCGCCGCGCACATTCGTTTTGAAAATGTTGCAAGAGCTTCACGGATTGAGGGCGGGTGATTTTCAAACTGTGGCTCACGCCTTAGCGCACCGCACATTCCTTTTAAAAATGTGCAGGGGCTTCGCGGATTGAGGGCGGCTCCTTTTCAAAATGTGGCTCTCGCCTTAGCACCGCGCAC